TGATGATACTACAGCTGGTATTTTGACCAATTTAAGCTTTTTGCATGGGAGAAATATTAAATAACTGTTCTCTTATGCATTGTAGTTTCACCAAAATCACTTCAGACATCATTGACCTCCTGTTGATGATACTACAGCTGGTATTTACACAATAAAAGTTATTTTTGCAGATTTTGGGGCGTTTGTTACTGGTATAAATATTCAATAACTCAACCTTTATGCATTGTAGTCCCATCACATTCACTTCACACATCACTGGCCTCCTGTTGAGGATAATAAATTACTACACAGAACCTGCAGATGGCGCTATATACCTTAAAGGCTCACCATGCACGACTGAACCAAGGGCTAAAAATAATTTTGTCTATACTGGTAGAGGCTTGATAGCTTATTGAGTGAAAACCCTATACCTTTTTTAATGACTGGTGAATTCTTAAAAACTGTAGACTTGATCGAGTTAAGGGTTGTGTAAACAAGTGGTTCAGTAGTACAACTCAAATGCTTTTAAACTTAATTAAGGTTTTTCATCTTTCTATTTTGCACCGTGCTATATGGAATCAAAGAACTTTGTCAAATGTCCTTCCTATGAACTCCATGTGAAGCTGTTTGTTTAGTCAAATACACTGGCTGTTAGTGAGGCTGTCATGGCTTCATACTTGTTGGGTCTCTGTTATTGTTAAAAGGAGATGAATTGGCGCTATACGAATAAAATTGAATTGAACTGAATTGAATTGAAATATTCCAGACACCCAGGTTCCCTGGCACAGCGCCCTCACTGTGGAGGTTTGGTCTGCTTGTCTAGTGGATTTCAGTTTTGTCTTCATCTGCTGCTGCTTCCCATAGAACTACAAGGTAAACAGTCAGTTGAGTATGGCAGCAGGGGTCAGGTCATTTAGTGTCAGCCTCTGGGGAAAATTGGGTCAGGTAAAGAGGTGGGAAGTACAAATACTTTGTTACTGTACTTAGTAGTTTGTTCAGGTATTTCTACTTTACTTGAGTATTAATTTTTTAATCATTAATTAAGAAAAAAAAAAACAGTGCATCACCTCTGCTAATCTGCTTAATCATGTTTGGCACCTAATTTTTCAGTTAATGAAAATTAGCCCTATCATGCATCTTCCAGTGCTGGGAGGTTATGTCTCCATCAGATATCTGATGCCATGATATTTGCACACGTGCACACTGATTAAAATTTGCGTGATTTATACGGTATTGTGTCTGTGTATAGGGCTCTATTTGCTGTTGGTTTACTGTGTGGTTTGACTGAAGCCTTGCCCTCTTTTCTATTTGTGAGAAAACACAAGTGACTGAACAAAATGATCCACATGGCTATACTAGCTAATGCTTATTTGGAGTTTTATGCTTTTAGTTTTTATGTTTTCTTCTAATAATATTTAAATTACCTCACCAAGGACGGCAATATCTCACAGTTCGAACTACACCCAGCCAGGTTTCTACCACCAGATACATTTCCATTGATTAATGTCATTTTCCTAATTAGCTGCACTGATTCTGTTCACAGCAACATCCACTGAGATAATTTAGCCTTTATCAGCTAATGGTGTTATTGTGTGGTGCAAAAATGAATAATTGTTTTCTTAGAATATAAAACATCAACATAATGTTATTAATGTGGTTCTGACAAATTGAATCAATGATCAGTTGTATTTTATCTAATAGAACAATTGACTCTTTTGAAGAAAAGTCACTGACTGGAGTCAACTTGGACTACTGTGAATGTAATGTTATTCATTCACAAAAACATTAAACATGTAAAATGTTATTCTAAGGTTCATAGTTTTCTTTATAAAGTTAAATTATCATGGTAAAGCAATCACTACACAGTTTGAATCAACACTATAATAATATAACAATATTGCAAAATGGTTGTTAAATGCAGAAAAAGCTCAGTATGTGTTGGTTTCAGCTGTGATGTGCAATGAATCCTGCTTATAGAAGACTTCATACAAACAACAACAACAAGACAGGTATTAGGAACAATCACATTTATTACATTTGGCCGGTCTCTTTATTCTTCTGTTTTTGGAGAATCAGCTTCCTGTAAAATATGAAAGTGGAGAAATAAGATAAGTTTTTATTTAAATGTGTGTAGGATTCAGTGACTGGTGAATTTGCAGTTCAACATGGTGGCCTCCGTAGAAGAGGAACTGTTCCCTCTGTAGATAAAAACAACTCATTCTAAAGTTAAAAAAAACACCATTCTCACTTTCAGGTGATGATACACTAATAAAAATAAACCTATGAATATATTATTATAATATTAATTTATTCCAATACATCCTCCTAAATGTTACACACTGGATCTTTAACAAACAAATTCCATCTTACTCCTATAGGTAAACCCTTTAATATTTATGCTAAACTCTAAGTGTCACACTGATTTCCATATTGGGAGGGTCTGCTGTAAAGGTGATTACAGTTGTTAAAATAAGGTGGTTCACTGTCACATAATGATTACAGTACATTGGTTCAGGAGAACCAAACCTGAATGAGCTTCAAAGCACCAGTCTCAGCATTAAACCCACTGGTGCCCCACATGTCAGGATGACCTGACAGATTCATTTAGTCGGCCATCATTAATCTAGATCAAACTAGTCCAGGGCCTTGAAGGTTAATTAATTTCATACAGTGAAACAATTATGATGAAAAATAATATAAACAGAGGCAGTGACAGATTACCATACCCTGAAGAGCCATTAATGATGTTTAAGAATCTTAAACTGGCAGTGAGATCCTGTTATTCCCTGAAGTGCTCCCAGCTTCTTATTTCTGAAAAGAAGGCATCTCCAGGGCAGGTAGTGTAGTTCACCACCTGCCTGTGGCCATGGATGGTGAAGTTGGCAGCCAGTGCTCCTCCATTTACTGCACATTGGACTAGTTGATGACGCAACAGGTCCATGGAATGGCGAGAGGGCAGGGTGGCAGTGTAGTTACCGATGATTGACACACCGTACCCGATATCATTGTGTCCCCTGGTGTGTGTGCCGAGGTGGTTCCATCCTCTGCCTTCATAGATGTAGCCGTCAGAGCCGACCACAAAACTGAGAGCACAAAGATAGTACAGAACACGATTAATAAATGCAGTGTCTGAAGTAAACTTTATGGAAAAATTGGAGGATAATGTTAACACACAAATAGTGCAAGATATTCAGAATTAATGCCAAATGATGGAGCTGAAGACGGGCGGGAATTAGCCTAGCTTAGCATAATCCGTACAATAATAAAAGTGTACAAAAACTGGTGGGTTCAGAGGGAGCAACACAATGTCTGAAACTAATTATTGATGAACAAGGTCATCGATCTTCCCAACATTATTTACAGCGCGTAACTCAATGTAAAACCACAAACTGTATATTTCTGTCTGTGTATGGATCAAACAAACAAGATACAATGTGCTAATTAATTAACTTTAAATGTGCTGTTTGGCAGATGGTTAAACCTTGGACAGAACCACACTAGCTCTTTCCCCCTGCTTCCAGTAATTATGCTAAGCTAGGCTAATCTCCTCCTGCCTTCATAGTTAATGCACAGACATGAAAGCGGTATCAATCTTCTTATCTAACTCTCTCTCCGAAGATTTCAAACTATTCCTTTAAAGGTCGGTTACCTGTATCCTATGTCACTCCAACCACGATCTTCCTGGTGGAAACGCTGCATGGATCTCATGTCGCGAGAGCAGTTTGGGAAGGTTAAACAGGGTGAGGATGGCTCATAGGTGTGGTGAACGTAGAGAAACTGGAGGGGCCGAGACAGTGGGATAGGCGTACCTCGGTAGGCTTTTGCCCCCCATTGACAACGGGGGATGATTTGAGGGCAGTCTGAGGAGAGGAGGAAAGAGGAGGAGGGTTAGGATTCTGAATCCACTACAGATTTTGTTATGTCATACCCATAAGCTTACATTTCCAACACTCAAAACTAGTCTAGAACCTGACAAATATTAACTTATTCTGGTGTGCAGGTACCCTTTAACGGATCCCTGTTTATGTAATTTAAGGAAAATAAAAAATTATAAAGGGCACTGTCTGATTAGTTGTTATCTAATTTTTCAATATTGTATCAGGTCCACAAATCCAGTATTACAGTCACAGGACTATACACATAATAATGCGCTCCTCAATAATGAGAAAGACTATTGCCTGCGGGGTTTTTTAACCAAGGGCTAGCCTTTGTGCTACAGCTGCAACAATTATTTGATTCATCGATTGGTTAAACGACAGAAAATAATCTAATATTATTGAAGAAATTTTTTCAGCAAAAATGGCAAAACCTCACAGGTTTCTTCTCAAATATGAATATGTCATACTCTTCTATGAAAGCAAACTGAATATCTTTGGGTTTTGGACATTTTAAGGAGTCACCATAGGCTTTTTAAGCTGTTGGGAACTTTGATTACATTTTACAGACCAAAAGATGAATCAATTGAAAAACAATCTGTAGTTTAATTAATAATGAAAATAATCATTAGTTGCAGCCATACCTTGTGTCCAAGTGCACTTTTTTGATCATTTGATAGCTCACCCCAGTATTTGTGCACAAATGTCTGCAATCCATCCTTCACTGCCTTCCCCACTCCAGTGTCCAGAGCAATCCATTCTGTCTTCTCCAACTTCCAGACTAAAGTTAAAGTCTCCATCACCTGGCTGTGAAGATCAAGTGGCTCCAGAATGGATCTAGAGATCTCCCTTCGCCTTGGGCTAATATGGCCGGTCACAGCATCAAAACCCTGCCCCTCATGCAGAATAAAACTATAGTATCCTTTCAAAATGTCACTGAGGGCCTGAGGTTGTTCATGTGGTGATAGGTTGCTAATGTCCATGCCCAGTATAACTCCATCCATGCCCCCATTAATAACAGCATCAGTGGCTAGAGTGGCAGGCCGAGACAGCTTGAACACCTTAGGGTGTTCCACATTGTCCCAGCATCCGTTAGGCCCCAGGCGAAACGATGACGGGAAGTCCTGGAGGCTGAGGAAGGACAGGCCCAATGTCCTGCCTAAGGTGAGAGGGAAGATGCCAACAGCTGGCGTGCCCTCCATCTTGGCTTTCAGTCCCAATTCAATTCCTAGCAATAAGGGTGCAAGAGCTACCGTGGTGCCATCTGGAGCAAGGACCACCCCTCGTTCCTCTCCGTAATCAGTCACAATGTGGTGGATGGCCTTGTCAAAAAAGCTGAAAGATGAGGCATTGAGAATGGCTGTCTCTAGGACCTCAGGAGGAGCATCACTGGCATTATATGATGCTCCCAAGAAATGAATGGTCATCCCATCATCGTGGCCAGCGGTCCTTCGCAGGGCCCTGACCAGAGCCAGGGGGGACAGACTGGGGTTAGAGTCTTCTACCTGCTGCACAGCTCGGATGAAGCTGTCCATATTACGCAGGTGGACACCTGACAACAACACAAATGGGGGACAAAAGAAGTGAAGGAAGGACGTTGTAGTGCAATAATGAGTCAGTGAATAATAGCCTCCTATTAAAACCTAATTTAACTACCTTATATTAGATTATCAAGATATATGTGGCACAGTTATTGATACTGGCCAGTTGATGGCCACATTCAGATCACAGATCACAGCTGGGTCTGTTTAACCCAATATCTCAAAACTATTTGGCCCCAATAAAGGTTAGACTACCCTGCCTTCAACAAAATGACAAGACCAACAAGTCCTCCAAATTAAATTACATTGCTTGTCCATGCCCTCATATAAGAGTTTAATGATCTGACACCACAAATGACAAGATGACAACCATTGTGTTATATTTTCCTATCTTACACCACCGTGGTTATGGTTTGGTTAGATTAAGATTTGAGCACAAAATCAAACTGGTTCAGGTCAAGTGAAAGATCATGATTTGGTTTAATATAACTTCTGGTTAAGGTCAAACGTGATCAGGGGACCTTCATCGCCATGGTTACAATGATAAACATGTGGTAAAATTATGGAAGGATCGCGGTCACAGTTAAAAGAAACCGGTGTTGACTGCTAGGAAACAAACAGCGGTGTCCCGTGTTAAAGTCCGATGTTTTGTTGATCCATCCACCCACGCCGAACTTTGTTGCTCTATAACAA